GGGGTGGAGAAGTAGTGCTTGATTTGGAAAAAGAAATCAAACATCCACTTCTTTTTTTGGCACGAGGAACAAACAAATCCAAAAAAAGAAAAAAAATCATCTTTGTGAACAAGGGAGACAAAGAGCCAATCCACCCTCCCTTTTATTGAGGGAGACCTCTTCAGCTGATTTCAATGGAAGCAAGATTGATTCCTGTTTCACCTGCTAGCCAGCTTTGCAAAGCAGTTTGTGAAATAAGCAGCTTACATAACTGCATATTTTCAGCACTACATACATAAATGCTTCCTCTATCCTGTATAAGGTATTTTTGGATCTGCTAAAATGCTACTGTGTTCTTACAGGGTTTTGCATTCTTCTGCTCAGAAATTGCATAATCTGATGCCATAGGAAACAAGTGATGTTGCATAATGATTCTTAGATTCACTGCAGGATTTTGATACTACACGTTTCTGTTGCAAAGCAGCCGTTCCCTGAACTGTGTTTCTGAACCGAGATCCTCAGTTTTTGAAGAAAGGATAATCTATCAGCCACCTGCCTTTGGGGGTAGGGGGTGGTAACAAACCAAACACCACCTTGCTACAAGAATTTCACTTCACAAAAATCGGTTTAACTTTGTACACCCATTTGCTGCTTCTGTTTTCCCTCACTCTAGTTGTTTGCGTATCTTGAGCTATGTGCATACATTAAACACCAGAATTTTCATATACAATGTTCTGACCTCTAACTGACCACTGATACCCTCTATCACAGGCTCATCAATACTATTGTAAAACATTTAGCTGGTATAAAAGACAGACTAAATGCTGATTAGCCTTTTATACTACTGAATTACTATTGGAATCTGTCTTAGATCAAAATTTAGAAATGACCTTAAGTTACACTCTTCTCTTTCATCCTTCCAGCTGTCTTCATAATATTTATGAAACAACTTTTAAAATCCTATCACAGACTTCAGGCTCTGCTCTACTCCATTTCTCTCTTCATCCTTCAGAATTGTGAACTTTTTTCTTACCTCATTAAAGATCAATGTTATATTACTAAATAACAATAACAGATTAAAGGATTTAAATTCAAATATTTTACAACTACAAAACCCAGGAAAGTCTCAAAGTTAAGTTCACAGATGCCGTACAGCCTCTTTGACTTTGCCACATGAAGCCTTTAAAATGTTGGAACGTCCAGTACTATCAACAAACAGTATCTTGTAATTTTCCCCAATTACAGAACTGAATCATCATATTTTCCTCCAAGGAGTAGCATTAATTAATGTTTGAAAGATCTTTGAGGATGAAGATCAATATCAAAGTGTTATTTTCAGGAATCCAATGAATGAATCAAACTCTCAACTTTAATTCATGTGAGGCATCAGACTGGTCTCAGGTAAATTTACTCACACGCTTGTGCTTATTTTTGTAGTAGATATGAATAATTCAATATTTGCAAAGCACATTTGACATGTAAAAGCTATACACACAAACTACTCAGCACTAACAGCTTACATGTTTCATACCTACTATTAAAGTAACTAAACAACTGTTCACAAAAGCACATAAATTACTGGCGTACGCACAATGCTTTGGCCTCTATCAACACTACACTATGCACCAGTGTGCACCTGATAGGAAGGGGACACTTAAAATCCTGCTGGCAGATCTCTCAGATGAGAAATAACGGTAGTACTAAGTTGTATTTAGCAAGTACCATACACGAGCAAAGAGGATTACTCCTCGATAAAGAAGCAAGCACAATGACTTGCTCATGAGCCTCTATTAAGCCTGTATTACTGACACAGCATAAGGGGTTAGAGCAACATCCAAGAGGTGTGATCCTATTCTTAGGGTGCTAGAGCTTTACATGATGGTAACACGATCAAGACAGCGCACACAACACACAGTCACGGACTTAAGAACCACAGAGGAGCCTCCTGAGGCCTGACTTGACATGTGCCACCTAACACCCTGCAGAGACCTTCCAAAGCAGCACTCAGCTCCCTGGTTCATCTCTACTACATCACTTTTTGGCTACAGTCGATAAACCAACATTTACAAATCTCCTGAGGCACATAAGAATGGTGAAGTTAGATTTGCTGTGTTTCAGCAGAGAAGTCACAGCTGTACAGCTGCATTACTGATTTTGGTGTCCTCCAGAAGGTAACAGAAGGTTGGCGGCAGGAAAGGACAAACATCCTAGGAATGAAGAAAATGTCCACACAGAGAGACCTCCATTCCTCAAGCCCACTATGCTGGAAAAACTCCAGCCTCCCACCCACACCCTGCCAGGACTTTCTCCTTCCTTCCCTTACAGCACCTCTCACACTGAGCTAGTGACTGCTCCAGAAGAAACAGCACAAACAACTACAGGTTCACCAGAGGATTATAAAACCCAGGTACTTTACACAGAAAAAACTATTCTTTACCCTGGCCTACACCCAACTGTTGTTAATGGCTTTGAACCCACTCCAACAACTGACTTTACAGTTGAAGTTGTAAACAGGGAAAGAGGACAGAGGTCAAAATGCATGTTGAGTATTTATAGGGGTGGCAGTAAGTAAGTACCACAGTGTTTCTGCTCCCAGCCCACCTCAGTATTTCTGCTACAGATGCCAACTTCATATCACACAATCCAAAGCGCTATGTGTTTTAGGTGAAATATTTACTCCCCTCTCCACAAGACATGAGAGTGATTTGCTGTAATGTCACAAAAACAGCAGCCTACAAAAGCCTAAGTCCCTGCATAGGACATATTTTCCAAAGAGGGATGAAAAATAAATTTTAGAAAGTCCCATAAGCTGGCCAGGGCTTGCTGAAGTGCCAAACTCCTGAGAGCTTCAGCCTCTTCTGAGGCTGCAAAGGTAACATTTGCCTCAATTGACTCATTTTGATTCAGTTATGGCTGAGAAATGCACTGAAAGTTGTAAAAGCTGTAAGTCTGCTGCTGTCTTCCTCCAAAGTCATCTTGGATGAGAGCTTGGCTAAAATGCTCTATGCACAGCAAGGTTCAGGCACCTTCCTCTGCTTACCCTGGCCCCAAGGACCAGAGCTGAGGAGGAACCCGCACTGATTTTAAATCTGTTCACACGATCAATGACAGGCTTCTTTTATTTTTATATATAAAAGCTTTATTTTAAAATTCTGCCATTTTGAGAAGTCCTACTATTTGAAATCCACTCCACACATCTCAGCTGCAGAAAGCCTGGAATGGGTACCAGATATGAACAACTCCAGTCTAATCAGTCACCATCTCATATTTGCTGTAAAAAAAAAAAAAGAGGAAATACTGTAAAACCTTTCTTATCCTGCCACTGCTTAGAAAAGAACTGTATTTTAATAACTACTAATTGTGAAACGGCTTCCCTATGAAGAGGTTTTCAAATAAATCATTACTCAATTTTCTGATCCACTGGAGATAAGCCACTTACCAAACCTTTACAATAGGAGACAAAAGAGGAAGGTTAAAAATTGCAACCAGAAAAAAAAAAACAAACAACAACAACAAAAAAAACAGTTTTAAACAGAAGTTCACACACAGCTGAGAAGCAGTAAGAGTCCCTACCATATATCTGTGATAGAAGTTATTTGCTAATTCCAGTCACAGGGATCAAAATGAATGCCAGCTATAAATTTAACTATCAGACAGCAGGGGACAAAGAGAAATCTGAATGATAGGACCATTCTAAATCAAAAAATCAGACTGGAGGCCCAAAATACAGGAAACAAAACTGTCGTTAAAGCAAAACAAACAAAAAACCTCACTATATCAAAATCATGATTTATTTGTTTTTCACAGCCAAAGGCTGTTACAGAAACAGAGGTTCAAAGGATTCTCTCTCTAGAAACAAAAACCTACATTCATTTGGGGACACAACAAAAAACTTTTAAACCAATGACAACTTTAACCTCTGCATTTAAGATATCCCAAGATGTCTGTGGCTACACACATAGCATTTACTGTGAAAAGTGCCCACATTTGGGTGTCAGACCAGCTGAACCTCTCTCTCATTTCACTCATCCATTTGTTTTTTATTTCAAATGTTTTCATCTTTTCTCCCTCAAAATTATCAATCAAAATATGTTCCTTCAGTTTCTTCTGTTGAACAGACTGCCTACTGATAAAATCAGTATATCCAAACACGTGGGCCTGATGTCATCTTTCTCCAGATCAACTTAAAATACCCAATTTTTTCATTTACTTGAGAGACATGTGGTTCGATATGATTAAGCTATTGCAGTACCTAAACCACCCCCCCAAAACAAAAATAAAGAGCAGCTCCACTCATTTCATTGGGAGAAAACATGACATCATGCCCCATTCAGGTAAGCAAGAATATGACAAATCTTGCCCCAGTGAACAGTATCATTAGCTGCAATGGTACTCCCAGCTTCCTCATTTATTATGAAAATGAGGGGTAAAATTCATGTGTTCAGCACAACAGAGACAGTTCAACCTGCTATTTTCAATATAAAGGAACAAATTCCTACCCAGCTGATAGAAAGAAAAGCACATCTCTTCTTCATCTCAAAAATAAAATTAAATTATTACTGTAACACAACAGAAGAATTGTTTGATTATTCCACAAGGAAAAAAAAATCACAATTGCCTAGAAGGCAAAACAATACCATTCTGCTTCTTTATACTATCTCTAGTAAATCTTATGTCATTCCCTGTATATTCCATATATATCTATTCTCCATTGCCATTCCCTTCCCCTTTAAAAGGGGGGCACAAGAAGATAACGTGCAAAATTGCAACTGAAAAATGTCTAGCACACCGATAAGCAAAAGGACAGGCCAGCTATCAGATTTATATGCAGTGATGGATAAATTAAGGTTTCACATTTCTTCTTCCCTTCTCTCAGCATCATTTTTTCAGCCCTTTCACATCACAAATGCAACATCCATCTGTCCTTCTGGAATAAATGGCGAAAGGGTAGCACTGACCATTAAACACACACACACAAACACACACGCTTCAAAAAAAGACATTTTCATCTCAATACTTACAAGGATTAAGATTTCCTATGTGATGCTCCATTTTCTTGTTTTAAAAAGATGGAAGGCACAAAAAAAAAAAAAAGGAAGTGTTACAAAATAAAAGGAAATTCCACCCACACAATCCTGCAGCCTGCTGCAAAGAAGCACAGAAGCGTGCTGACGTCACAGATTCATGAATGGATGTAAATCGGGCTGTTTCGAGATTCGGCGGTGCTGGCTGGGGCTGCGCACCGCGAGAGGGAGAGGGGAGCAGGGGGGCAGCCAATCCACGCAGGCACCGCCGGCCGCCTTCTGCCAGCAAAAATCTGGGCACCGAGCAGCCTGAGCCCACCGCCAAGCCGCCCCGAAGGGCTGGGAGAGCTGCGCGCCTCTGTGCTACGTATGCACGGCGGCGAGAGGACGCTAAAAACAATTTGTTCATAACTGAAGTGAAGCTGTTGGGTAAAATGGCATCACTGCTGCCATTCCGCAGAGAGGACCGGGCGAGGACATCCTCTAATGCCTTCAAGTCATCGCTCCGGCGAGTTTCTGCCACTCCATACAGCTTGGATAACAACAGCATATCAAATAACTGCCATCTGTTATAGGAATCAAATGTATTGAGTAATCAGAAAAGGAGTTTATCATCTCTCTGGCTTCTTTCAGGATTACAAACCCTGGGTATTATTATTAAAATAACTAAATATAAGCATGTACTGGAAGGAAGCTGCAGGGAGAACAATAGCAGGCTTGTATTTGATTAGTGATGCAAAAAGCACCAACAAAATAAAAATAGGAGCACTAACAAAATCACGCATTCAGCTCTCAAACATTCCCAACAGCAGACAGACAAGCTCACAACGTCAGAAGCATTCAGAAACAAAAACTGGAGCACACACAGTTTCACACTTGCGGCTACGTAACAAACATTGGGCACAACATCCGTGTATCACAGCCTACCAGCCATTTTCATTTCGAATTCCATGCCAATTAATATACTTAAGTCTGCATACTAGATTCAAGGGCACAGGCTGTCATTTCTGTTGCCCAAATAGATAGCAATGTTCTGGTGAGCGCACGCAAGAGTGGATATGATTAACTTGGATCTAGACAGTGGAAGAGCATAAGTTTTGCCTTATTTTTGTATCTTTGAAATATGAGGGAAGGAGTGATGAGCATAACCAGGAGTTAAGGTCAAGGTCTGAAGAAAAACCTAGGCTGTAAGCTCTGCAATTACACCATCTCAGGGTTTACCAGAATTCATCAATTTGGTCTCTAAAACTTCTAAACAATTTGTGGCCTCCAAATTAAGAGACAATTTCCATATTTTCACTACCCCTTTTCCTAGAAGCAGGAAGCAATTATGCCAAAATAAGATGTTCCAAAACTTACTCTGGTGGAGCACACCTTAAGAGAATGTCTGAGAGAATCCCACCTTTCCTTATGGAAACTGGGTAACATCCCAAAATAAACCAGGACGGGATGTAACAACAATGCAGATCTGGGTTAAGAAACGAAGAATTTTGGGTTACTTGATATCGTGTGAGCCAGCACCTCTGCAACTAGTTTGTGTGGAGGGAGAAGGGCTAATACAGCCACACCTACAGAGACAATACTTACCCAAAAATGTAGTTATATGAGGGGATAGGTAGGTTTTGGCATATATTAAGACAGTAGATAATTTTTGGATGCATCTTTGACATAGAGCAAGGAACAAGACAGCCAGGGCAGTATATCTAGTTCTTCCCTCCTCCAGTTCTGTTTATGCCCAAGACACTGTTTGGGAGTCACTGGACTTCTACATCTGCTTCTCATCACATCTTTGTTTCTTAATGGTACCATAGCGTATTATTAGATACTATGACTCCACCAAAGAGTTGCAATGTATTAGTATGCTCTGAATTCAACAGCAGCCACAGTAAGTTGAGCTTTAATTTTGGACTTCAGTTTTTGAACTGAGCTTTATAAAGCTGGCCAGAGAAAATTAAAATGAATGCAAATTTCTTGTTACCTACTTTCAAGATCAAAGAAAGCATAAGTTAACTTTTGCTGAAGAAATATATATTCTTTAAGGGCTAAAAGTCATAAAACACAAAGCAAGAGATTTCTATTCAGACAACACCACCGCTGCAGATTAAGCACTACCATACACAAGAATCAGAAGTGAAGGTACTGTGAGAGTCACCTCATCTTCAAAAGGATCATTTGTGTCACAATTTCAAACCCCAGTTGCCTCAGGTTACTTAGGTGTTACCTGCTCCAACTTCCTGCCTTCCCTTTCCCTTCAGAGCCCAACACTCTGCTTTACAGCCTACATCACCACCATGATAGAAAACCAAGAGCTTCCAGACTTCCCTGGCATTTTCAAAACAGAAATAAAAATGGTAATTTACTCTCTTACCCTAAAGCAAAAAGAAATAAATTCAGGAACTAGAAGGGGGAGCACAGTACCACATGCAAGAAGTGGAAGGAGAAATATTGCTATAGAACAAGAAATGTCAGAATAAAAATAGAAAGGAAAATAATTTTCAGAGGTTACCAAGGGTTAATTGCAATGACATTTAAAAAAAATACACAGCAGGGAAAATAAGTGGGAACAAAACCCCAAAAAGACTCCAGTAGAGAAAAAGAGTTTGCACATACAAGTTAAGCTTTTTCTTCTCCATGGTGATTTGATTCAGTGTACCAACATTCAATTTCATCTATGTCTCAACAGCTCAGGCAAAAATTTTCAAACACAAAGGTCCTGAATTTAATGCAAGATAACTACCTTAACTCATTATGTAAAAGAAAAAACAATAATTGGCCTAAAATTAATGGCTGTTACAAGATTATGTTGGTAGCCAAAGAACAACATTAGAAACCAAGATGGTTACATATTTTAATTGTACACATTTCATAGCTCTTTTGATGCATCAGTGGTGAGTAACAAAGTTGATCAGTGTTAGAAAGAGAAATTATTTTCTTCCTCATTCACTGGTGAAAGTAGTGAATGCTGTGAAGTATCAGATGCCCAAAGACTATTCTACAAGTAAGTCTAGCTCAGTATTAATGTGAAAATAGAATTTGAAAAACATAGTAAGTACAAGGGTAAAATATTAAAAAAACCCCAAAGCTCATAAAGGAACCATACAATTGCTAGTGAAGACTTCACAGATAGCAGGATCTCTGAAAGGATATATGAGTACCTAAATAACTAGACCCCTAGGAGACATATCAGGCAAAACTGGTGGTAATGAGTGCAAAAAGGAAACCTAGAAGTATTTAAAAAAATCCGTTCACCATATTTGAAAAAGACAAGATAATTAAGTACTTTCAAGCCAATTAGTAACTAATAGGAACGTTATACAGCATCTGCTAGGCATAACATTTCAAGTTGGCACATCTCATCAGTTTGAGCCCAGTCCTAAAATAATCATTTAACAAGTTATCCAATCCTGTGACCTTCAAATTTAATAAATTGGAAAACTACTAAAATTGCAGAAGACTGAGAATAACAATATTATGCCAATATTCAAAAATAGCATACGTTTGCTATTTATAGGCATTGGTAACTTGGTGCTGGTCTTGGACAAAAATCCTAACACAACCCTTGATTGGAAAGGATGGTTCTACAGCATCGGACCAAAGGCCCATTCAGCCCAGTGTCCTGACTCTGACAGTGGACAGTAACAGACACACAGGGAAGCAGAAAATCAAAGCAAATGCCTAATACTTCTTACGGCAATATTCCACATTAAAAAGCAGAAAACTAGAAAAGAGATGGAAGTGACTCAAAGGCTATTTCATAATTATACATCAATGGGGCTGTTTATAAATCTACTCGGTACACAATTGGAGGTATAAGAGGGGCTCCACTGTGAAAACTTTCTACCTAGATGAGTAAATACGTGAAGTGAAACTGCAAATGATTTTCTAACAGGAGAAAACCTAGGTAAGTATTTGCATAGATAAGATGGCTAGAGGGACATTTTATTGTCAAATTCTAAAATCTGTGAAATCTTTGATCCACTCTTGTGTAGGCAAACATTCCTCTTCCAAATGTCCTCATCTTCAGCAGTAGGGTGGGTGACAGGAAGGAAGGAAGGAAGCAAGCAAAAAACCCATACTTAAACCACCAGATCTTCAGGCATTTAACCAGAATCTCCCCAGATCTGAGACTCTGAGAAGTTCTCCCTGCAAAGGCAGGTGAACAGGACTGCAATTTGACAGGACCAGCACCAAAAGCTAGGAGCAGAGAAGTGTGACCAAAGGGAAAAAAGTCACTCAAAGAGAAAAAGCCCAGAAGTGGGACACGTGCAATTCCATGACAACAGGTGAGCTGCAGTTTGAGTCAGGGCCCTAATTACAAGCCCTGTTTTGAAAGGGAGTCTGTTTACAGCAGGACAGCCACAGTGATTTCAGGTCCAGTTCCTGCCCCTCTGCTCTTGTGGCAACTGCTGAGCCACCACAACCCAGAGCCTGTACCTGGAAGATGAGCCCCACACCAGTTGAAGGGTTGCCTCTTGGGCAGGATAAAGCTATAGGGTGTACACTTGGGTGAACAAGCTGCTGCTACACAGGCAATAGGGCTATCCTTGGAACAAGGCTCAGACCCTCTCAGATGAGAAACATCAGAGCTGCCTCTGCTCACAAAACAGCAGCATTAGGGAGCCACACTGAGATGTTTAGGTCTGTTTAAAAATGAAAGCAGAGAACTGGAGAGGGCTACAAATTCAGATACATAATACCCTGAGAGAAAGCTACCATATTGTTAAATACCTACCCAAAACCTATTCAAACAAACTCACAGACATTTGTACCACCACAGTAGTCTTCAAATGAAAGTGCTACCAACTTTGGTAACAAAGTGAGGCTTCTTACAGCAAAACCATCTTACATCCAGTTGATTTTTTTACTGAGTGTGCTCTGCAAGATATGATGGGTAGTACCTAAGACTATATGATGACTTTCTTTAACCTTGTATTACCTTCAAACAACACTCCAGGAACTTTAAAAAAAAAAAAAAAAAGACACTAAAGGCACTAAAAGACAATGACAAGACAAAATGCATTGTCTTCCTTTGTTTAAGGCTGAGGCTGGTATGGATTCTTTTTCAAGGAGTTTCTATGTGGTTTTCCCAGCAAGTCTACTCTTTCTAGATGATCCTGCCTTTTAGGTTCTTCATCATGATAAAAGTCTGTGAAGTTTTAGAAGAAAGCATGCTACTACAACATTAGGAACATACACTGATGAGGCTGGGGAAGTTCAAAAGACTATGTCTGCAGATTTTTGTCTTCCTGAAGGAAGACAGTCCAGTTCCTCAGACATAAGGAAAAGCTCTGGAACTCCATCAGGAAAGAAAACATTGCTACATAAGAGACATTAGAGCCCACTTC